CCGCCGGTTTCCCCCCCCCGCCGACCCGTCTTGAGATACACGTCGGTCAGCCTCTCCCATCTGTCACCTTGCGCATGTTTTCGTGTTATGCGTCCGCCCCGAAGCCATGGACCCCACCCCCGGAGGTACCAGTCAACCAACCACCCCCCCTTTATGACCCCGCGCCCTGCTTTCCAAGCGGCACTGCTGTCGCACACCAAACTGATGTAGACTTTTTGCATTGCTAACTTACCGGTAAGGATAATCTCCGAGAGAGGTACTTGACGCTCCACGACCCCGGCCAGGGTCATCACACGCAGCGCTCCGGGCTTCGAGTTCTTGCGGATTTCCTATGGAAAAAAAAAAAAGGGACAACAAAGGACGAAAAAACAAAAGGGGTACGCATAGTTCTTGTCAAACACACGGAAGATCGTTGCACTGGCGAGATCCCGAGAAACCAAAAATAGTCAGCGGCACGTCAACAAAGCGCCGCTCCCCCCCCCCCCCCCCCCCCCCCCCCCCCCCCCCCCCCCCCCCCCCCCCCCCCCNCCCCCCCCCCCCCCCCGTCCTGCAAACCAAGAAAATACTACCCCCCTGCAAAACCGCCGCCAAATGCGCGCCCTGCCCCCTCTGCACACGCCGCCCTCCCTCACGACCCACCTCGGCCCATTGTCCCACGAGCGACACGGGCACGACGATGAGCGTGGCGCGAGACACCAGCCTCCTCCCGCTGTCATAGTGGCGGCCGTGCTGCTCCCGGAGGGACTTGCGGTGCTCGAGCGAGGAGTGAGCGCCTCCGTCGCGAGGGTTTGCAAGGATAGTCGACAGCACCTTTGCATAGGCATAGATACGAAGGGGGACGGGGGACGGCGGGGGCTCATGTAAACGCGTTTAACTCGCATCCCTAACATGTCGGGACGGAGCGGCCGACACGCCGGGTTTTCGTTGGCCCAGGCCAACACTAGGTTTCACAAGGATGAANGGGGGGGGGGGGGGGGGGGGGGGGGGGGGGGGGGGGGGGGGGGGGGGGGGGGGGGGGGGGGGGGGGGGGGGGGTACTCATGGTTTTGTGTGTCTTAGTTTTTAGACCGTGAGCGGACGGAGCATTGGGGCGTACTCATGGTTTGGTGTGTCTTAGTTTTTAGACCGTGAGCAGACGGAGCATTGCCCTCAGAGGACTGATCACCGATGGCCGATCGTCCTTTCCTACGGCGACTCACAAAAAGTTTTCCCCATCCGATCTACACATACAGGGAGGCGGAAGGGCGTCCTCATTCGGGAGAAGAAAAGGTAAACGTTCTGAGGGCGTTTCTTATGTCCTACCGTGCGGCTTCGGCCGACAGGGAGTACAACCAGCGAGCGCTGCTGCAAGCACCGGCTGCTCTGGACCACATCAACGATACTAACCGCAATGCACGCCCCACGCAAGTTAATCACGCCCCACCTCTATCGTTTTTCCGAGCCCCATCTCCTCGCAAAGGAGTCCCCCCGTGATGTGAGGCGGCTCTGCAAGGCGGAACTCCCCCGCCAGGGGAAAGTACCACAGCGGGGNGGGGGGGGGGGGGGGGGGGGGGGGGGGGGGGGGGGGGGGGGGTGAGAGAGACAGAGGGGAGAAAAACCGGGGGGTTGGCACACGTTAGACGGGGGCCTGTGGCCGCCATATTACAGTGTACTAGTAGCCGCAAGTGTGAAAATCAAATCATTGACGCCAAGAACCAAGCACACGGTGTGTGCCGTTGCTGTTGTCGGATGCGCCAACTCGACACCAAGGCGGCAGCAGTAGCTGCAGCAACAGCAGTAACCAAACCACAGCTGCAAAGGTGCGCCGACCGCCTAGGGTAGGCCATGCACCACCAGCGCCGGAGGCTGAAATACACGACCGTGCGGCCGAGTCATTCATTCCTATGCATGACCACAGTGACAAGGGGCTTGCGGCAAAGCCAAACCAAAACGATAGAGAAGAACGGCATATAATGCCAATACCAACAAGATTCTGGGACGCAGACACAACAGTATTTCACCGTGTATATTTACGTCATAGAGCACCCATGGGACAACAAGTGATGGTAACAACAACGCAGGGTGGGAAATGACGGCGCATGAAGGGAACTACTGTACTTGCCCCATCTGCATCCGCCGTACTTCCGGAGAATACAGTGAACCGCACGACCGATGAGGCTGCAGGGGTCCTACCTTAAATTGCGGTTGTGTTTCTTTTCCCGCTCTTCAATCCCAAAAATGAGGAAGAAAAACACCGCAGACTTGAAAGAAACGGGGACATGAAAAGAACAAACCGCGTTCTAACGCACGCACCGTCTTTCCCAGAAATATCCATTGAGGCCGCGAGGGTCCCTCTCGTGGTCCAGCATCCACTGGCAGCTGCTTTGCTGGTACGGGAAAAGGTCCACCGTCAGGTCCGCCGGCTGGACGACACCACGGAGCAGCGGTAGAAAAGTGCGATTGGAAAACGAGTTCGAGGGACGCAGCACAAACGTCACGTGCACCCCGGGTTTCTCCCCGCAGAAGGAAAAAGAAAAAAAGCGTTTGTGCAAGAAACAGCACAAGCGTCCGAAAACGGAAGCACTCTTCATAGTGCTGATAATCCGTGCGGTCTCGAGGAGGGGGGGGGAGAGCGCGGACAAGCAAGCGCGTTCGCGATGATGACCCGCCTTACCCAATTCGGCGGTCGACCAATCAGCGAGGTCGATGCTGGTGATCGATGCCTGTTCTTCCTGAAACGTCTTATCGTCGGTCAGTCTGTTAGTGCGGTCGACGCTAACAAATACACACACACGTGGTCGGTCCCATATCATGGCCTTAAGAAGCACTTTCTCTTTTCAGCCGCATTGAGATTGGCGTCTTTCCATTGGCCCGTCAGGCAGTTAGCTCGATCGACGCTGAGAACAAAAACACACAGGCACCTTGAGTTCACCCGCTGGGCACTGATGTCTGTTCATTGGTCAACCGGTTAGCGCGGTCCTTGCTGACAGTGAAGACACACTCGCACCTGGGGGTCAACCACCCGGTACCCGGAGCTCTCCGCCGACTTCAGTATCCCTGCCAGTGAGAAGTCGTACTCCCGCCGCGCCGCAGACGTCGCCGCCACGCCCGAGTCATCGCCACCACCGCCACCCGCCGCCGCCATAGCAGCAACAGCAACCGCAGTAAGGCCATTACTGGAGCCGCCACGACCGCCGCCGCCTCCGCCCCCGCCGCGGCCGCCCCGCTTACTCCGGTCTTCGTCTCTCTGGGCGTTCCCTCTACCACCTGCACTACTGCCGCCTCGCCTTCCACTGCTACTGCTGCTGCTGCTGCTGCCGCCGCCATTGGTACCCATGCGGCCGCAAGCGGCGGCGGCGGTGCCCGAGGAGGTCCCGGACGCAACGGTCGAAGGAGGGGAGGCGGCAGGGGTTCGTCGTACGCCTGGACGGGTGGAGACGAACTGCACGGGCTGCTCTTCGATGACGGCGGGGGGTGTCACCTGCACGTGCGCGGGGGGGGGGGGGGGGGGGGGGGGGGG